ACCTTTCTGTTCATCATTTCTGGTAGAGTATGAGAGCATTTGATATAAAAAAGCTGCCTCTTTTGGAAGAACCGTCTAAAACGTTTATCAGAACATCTTTCGCTTTCAGCAATGATCCAAGAATATCTTCCTCTTCAGAGTGTTTACTACATGCGAATTTACCCAGGAAGGGTCCAAATGATGGCGTGAAGTACCTCGCTGTCCCTTGTATCGCTCCTTAGATGATCCAACCCGAGAGCTCTTCTCTGTTCTGCGCAATTCTGACATGTCCATTGAGAACAAGATGACTTAATACCTCCATGCATATTTCCGAAGATGGAAAATGGGCAAAATATCGATTAAAAACAGAATGAACTCACGGCGACAGGCAAGCTACACAAAACTCTTGGTAGAACTTGTTGAACATGTAGATGGCATGCCAAATATTTTTGACGGGTGTCAGGAGGTTGACACTTCTTCCGTTGAGGATGGTGCTAAATATGGTACAAGGAAAGGAGTAATGTCTTCTAAAAAAAATTGTCTGGATAACGGAGAGTGATCATTCAAATGCCTGCATGTCTCCTTGAAGGCTGAACAAGTTTGACAAGTATTTCGAAGCAAAACAAACATGATACATAGAATCCTGTCTATTATCGAATGCTGTTCAGTTAGATTGCCAATCTTTAGCGGAAAGGCGTGTTAGATGTTTCCAAAAATGAAAGAAAAAACTTCTATTTGGAAAGGCTGTCGATTGCAATTTCTCGGTCGACAAATATCATGACGATATAGCAGTTTTGAAGTACGGCACTCATCAGATGCACAGAAAATCGACAGTTCTGCTGCTTTCGATCGATGTTAAAGAATGAAGCATAAAAGAGCACTCTGACCAGTCGAAAGCTATGCGTAGAAAGTATTAACTTTTCTACTAAGTGTTCCCTAGCGTACGAGATTTCCAATGCTGAAGAAAGTGCTGATGTGGTAAGGTCAAATAGACTACATACATTCTCGGGGGATTACTCACTATTGTGAAGAGTGTGGAGAAAGGCTGACAAGCTTCGATTTTCGGCCACAATTCAGTCGAATTTTGAATTCCCACCCCCCCCCCCCCCCTTGCCGAAACATTTCCGCGTTCCCCTCATAGTTGCATGATGAATAGTCCATAAAACCTCACATCTGCAAAAAGCAGCTTCTCACTATTTATTTATTTAGGACCTAAGAGGAATTAATTGTTTACGAATTCATTCGATGATGCAGCCCAATGAGATCTCCGAAAAATTTGCCTGCGGCGACATAAGAAATAAGTTCTTATTCTCATAAGCTTCTAATATCCACTAGGCCACAGTAGCTGCTTGGAGTAACTATGAATTTCCGCTTTCGATTAACATATTAAGCGCACACCCCAAATAACTGTTACCGGGGATACTTGGGTTGAGGTTTTGCTCAATATCCTATTTTGATCAGAATTTTCTATACAATCAATCATTCGATTAGTGGTTGCGGTAATGCATCTATCACGCCATGTGGACGCAAGGCGACTCTTTCTAGATTTGGTGGATATCAAACTTTGGGAAACCACAGAGAGGGGATTTGACGATTTTCTCCTGCTTCAAAGACATTTCCGCTTCTGCGAAGCTGTCACTTGTACGTTCCAGTATGATGAACTTTTTGTCTTCAAATTAGGCAGATTCGCAGGCATGAATGAATTAGCAAACTTCACTTTGCAACGACATGCTCTCTCTCTCTCTCTTAAAAGTGCTCTAAAATCTGCCATGTACGTGCTGTTCTAACCCAGATAAGTCCGTTTTAGTTGGTCCTCCTATGTCCTTTTTTTCATTATGACTACCCTGAAATCTGCCATGCAAGTCCGAAGCGGCTTTATCTGTATCGGACTTATTTTTATGCCATTTATTCGTGCGGAGGCCCTACGTGCCAGATTTTAAGGTGTATTCAAAGCCCTAACATATATTGGCTTGAATTCATTTATCTCTTCTTCGTGCATTCTTGAAAATAAAGGGATTAGTTGGCCTGGTTTTGAGACGGTCTGCATACCGAAAGATCATCCGAAGAGGAATTTGCACCTTGCCCTCTCTATGTGCTAAGCTTTTTCACAAAAGGGTTTTTTGAAGTTCTTTAGAGTTCGTGTCTTCGCAAATGAATATCTCATAACTAGTATCTCATAGTAGCTCATCCGAACACGAAGCAGCGTTTGAAAGTGATTAGAATTGAGTTGAGTGTTCGTAGAACGTCTCAGTTCAGATTTTCAAAAAAAAAAAACTAGTTTATTTTTGGTTTATAAGCCTGGTTTGCTCTGCAAATTGAGTAAGAGAACACATATAACAGTTCCCAAGAATCGTTTAGCAAATGCAGGGGACACATTATAAATTTGTATTCCAAGATGCACTAACGGTGATTAAACCGACTTCTCAGGCTACCTTGGTTCCCAAAACTTTTTTTTTTGTGAGGTAAACGTGAAAATTTGTCTTCACAGTTTTTCATACTTAGAGTTGCATACTGGAGTTTGCTAGTGCTTGAATTAAACAAAACCATTCCCGTAGACACCCAATAATATCCGCTTAGTGGAAGAGACGCTTAATCCTATCTAGAAAGTTTATTGTTTATTTTATAGCTCCTCTAATGATGCTAATTCAGAATTCAAGATGAGTTTCGAATCTGCAGCAACATCGGCTGGTAAATTTTTGACTATTACTCCAATAAAAAAAGTTCGCTGAATTTAGCAATAAAACGAATTGTATTTTTGAGCAGTTGCTTTTTTCACAAGCCCAGGCTATACCCTAGGCACTCTCATTTTCGCTTGCAGCAAAAGTTGGAAATGCCACTAATTAAGGTGATCTGTTTTTCCACATTCTTGTTATTTATTGTTTCCATGAGTTTCCATTACTTTCTATGGCTACACTTATTTTTCGGCCTCGTCTCGTGCAAAGGCAAAGACTTGCAAGCAAATTCAGGAGCTATTACGAGCTCTCTCACCTCCGTAATAACCACTCCACTGGTGCGCTACAATTTCAATCTTCCTACTGCGTTCGTCACTTTTTGTTCAGAAAAAAAAACCGACTTTTATGCTTTTAGCAAATAAAACACAGCATACTGAGGAGGTCGACGTTTTTATATACCGAGGCCTCAAAAAATGATGGGGGGGGGGGGTGGTTATTTATCTATAAATTTACTTATTTATTCAAAGTACAAAGGTCTTTCGAGAAGGATTTCATCTTGTTGTCAAAAATTTTAGTTTGCAGAGAAATTCTGCGAATGTCGGTCTCTGCCAATTTCTGCACATTTTCACATTGGTGCTTCTCAGCTCAGAGACCTCATATTTGAGAACTAGGGTTATGAGTCAACAATCCTATAAAAGCTAATTGGTTTGAGGAGTGCATAAGTAGATTATACTACGCCCTGAAAGAATAGAATTTAGTGCTTATCAAACAGGGAACTCTTAGAATTCGATTTGCATCATTACGTTAGTAAAAGTGCGATATTCAATGATCCTATTGTTTATAGCAACGAGGCAACGGAGATTTGTGAATGAAAGGAGCTAATCGCTTCATTCACGAAGATGATCGAACTTTTGCAAAAGTAGCTTCCAAATGAGGTGCGAAGCAAGGCCATCGTAATTGCTCTTAGAACCTCATGGAATTCGCAGTGTGAATGTAGATCATTCAGTCGAATGACGAAAGAAAGTCTAAATCTCATATGAAGCTAATAACCAGAAATATGCTGTCAAATGAAAGATGACAGATTTTTGTATCGAAAATAGCTTACTTTCTTCATTCTGAAGAATAATTTGTGCAGGACGTAGCACCATGCGTTTCCGATCCTGGAACTTCGCTTAAGAAGAAATTAGACTCAATGATGTCAGCGCAGGATATTGGACCAAATACGGCTCAAGTGCAATCATGGGAATCTCACATCGCATACTACCTAATATAGACGTGATTGGCTAAGATACCAGAAAGTAGACATTTGAAATATGTAGGTCAAACCTAGGAGCAAATGCATAGCAGCTTTCATGCATTTTTGCATACTGTGGCTAGACCTCAGTAATGTCGGTTCGAGAAGGAACTTCTGCAGAGGCATGTGTCTCTATAAACTGACCAATAGCTTCACGTTCCAATGCATTCTATTAAGAGCATGTGGCCTGGTCAGTACTGTATAGGGAGTCTATATGCATTATAAGTGAACTTGATTCGAACCCAAATAATGGAATATATGTCTCTAACACTTACATCAACTTACCAGGTTTGATAAATCTTTGTGCTCTCACCATCCGTCAATAGGTCGCACTGATGTTTTGGAAGCAAAACTTATCTCGCAAAATCTTGAAGAGAAGACAACAAATTCTCGAAACGTAGATTCCAATGAGTGCTATCAGCGAAGCGAATTACAATAATTAAGTGATCTGATTAGTCAGATAATACTAAGTTAAGTGGTAAATGATGTCAAGCAATCCACTGACACCAAGATATGTCGCCATTAGAAACTAATCAACTTTTTCCACTTGTCTGAACTTACTTCTAATCCCTCTCTCTCTTTCTCTCAGCGCCGGCGATCAAAAAAGCTTTTATTTCTTTTTTCTGATTTCCACCAAGTTATACTCATATCCCATTGTAGCCATTGGAAATCCGTCCCGAATCTGAACTTATCGGTCGAATCCTTTAATATAAGCGATAGCGAGACAATTGATTGCGCTTCATCCTAGCTTAATTGTTTGTTCCGTCTTAACAGAGAAAGGGGCGTGACTTTGCTCGGATCCTGCCTTTCCCTCTTATCTTCTATCGCTTCTGGGTGTCAGGTATGCTCTGAAATCTTGTTACATATAAGAAGACCAGTTACCATTTCTATCATTTCCGCTTTATTATGGAGATAATTTAACACTTTACTGTGCCCTTGTTGTATTTGATTATCAACGAACTGTGTATTATACAAGGCCTCATGTTCCTGAGAACTCTTTATTAAACTCGATACACATCTGGCAACTTTCTATATTAAAGGCTGAAATAATTTCTAGATCGTCTTCAACAAGGAACGTATGACAGCAGTGTTCGATTACGAACAGTTCACCGCAAGCTGCAGAGTTCTGTTCAAAAATCCTAAATTTACTCTAAGGCAATGTCTCGGGTGAGCACTGGAATCTTGATCATGGGAGAATGAAGCTTTATAAATTATATTTGACTTCGAAAATCTGGAGATGTATCTTGTGCAAACTTCTCGATTCTATTCATTTTACTACGTTGAATTAATTGAGTAGCAGTTGACTGGCCCACGAAAATTTCTCACGCAGCATTTTGCTAATCGTACCAAACCAGAGAGAAAATCACTTTTCTAATTCGCTAGAGTCAAATTTTTGGAACTGAATTTGAATCACCGCAATAAATATTTGTCGCTTAAAAAGAAGACCGAATAGCGTTGGTGGAGGACTTGCTATCCACTAGCGGTATGTGAAAACACTTCGTTAAAAATTTATCCAGAAAATTTAACGCAGTGCTTATTCTTTTTTTTTTGGAATTTCTCGAAATCTTTAAAAACTAAGTCGACTCATTCAGATTTTTGGATTACATCAAGGAAGTTTCCACCTACGACACAATGGGGATTTCCGAGTGTCCAGCTGCGATGGAACGTGAGCTTTTCTACACCTTGAAGCGAAGATAGCCGAGTTAATGAGAAACAGATTGATTGTACTGGCAACTAATTGAATTCAACAGATTGCAGCCTCTAAGAATACAATCTAGGATTTTCCGCCCCGTTATGACTTTCGCTCTGCTACCTTTGATGCGATCGAGAACAGATAACTGAGAAAACAACATATTTCCAACAACATGCTGTTTTTTGCTTATAAAAGGCAATTAAAAATGGTCGATTTGAGACAGAAAACTCTCTAGTACACCACTGTTTGAGTAAAAGTGCTCAGCAACTTCCTAGCATCCTCGTGTTTACTTTCGCGCTCCTCTTTTGCAATATAAAGCTTTCTGAGAATCCTTCTTTGCAGTGCAAAGGGTGGAACACAATCCGAAGTTTTACTCCTCACCTTGTGGATCAGTAGAGATAAGTGAGTACTGTAGTATTCAAGCTGGAGCTACGAGACTTTTGTATAAATACCATTACAGTGCTTCTGAGGTACGTCGTTCCGGTACTGATGTTGCTGTGTTTGATGGGGAATATGCTCAATCTGCTCATATATAATCTTTCTTACTTCGATGGTAGCAGCTCGGTGCACTTTCTGCGCGCCAAAGCCATTTTCAATATGATTTTTGTGTGGTCGCGACTTCTCGAGGTTTGCAATTACTCTTAATTGAGTCTACATGGCTGATTTTAATTAGAGTCAAGTGACACTTGGTTGACTAATAGATGACGCCATATTGTTGGATATTTCTTCCGCAAAAGTGATATCAAAACTTCATTTCTCAGCAGTTCACTTTATGGTGCAAATGGTTTTTTTGTTCTGCTTTAAGCACGCCTAGTTGGCATAAACAAACATTTTTCTGAGCATATTATTTTTTAGAAGAAGCACAAAGATAAGTTCCAAAGCTCAAATCCCCTTTTGTAGCGATATTGATATACAGTAAGAAAAAGCATAAAGTTTACTTCATACTAATTCTTCTTTCAATTTCTGTTGTTGAGCTCTTACGCACTCGTGAAAAATTTGAGCAATTATCCATGCACCTTTTGCTTTTTTTGACGGACTTCAACTTTTGTAGACTACTTACGTTTGCTTAATACGAGTGGAAAATCGCAAACACTCGAGCTCCTGATAAAGCTCCGGATAGCTGGCTGGGACCCAGCCGCCTTTAATCACTTTGGATTACGTGGGTGTTTAAGAATCAAGGATTTGCACTTAGCAAAAGGAAGCTTTATCAAGTAATACGAGTAAAGATGATAGACATAGACCGTACAGCTTTAGATCTAGATGAACCTTTCACCTGAGCTATTCAATGTACGATTTCATCAATCACTACTCGGTTTTGAACGAACTTAAAAAGATGAGCACTTTGTAGAAAGAGAATTCTTTGTGAGCCTAACAGTACAAAAAATGACGTTTGGGTTTTGGGAAAATTAACAGCTTCCAAATCTAACATCGAGGTTCCGGAATTTCGCGGTGTCAACGCGCCTCCCCAAAAGCTTTTCTACAGGAATTAATCTTCTCCTCATTAGAGTCTGCCATGAAACGTTGACATTTTCCAATACTACAATGTCTGCAATCCACTTACTTTCTTTCGCTTGCCTTTCTTTCACGCCCTGTAGGGTGCAAATGATGCGAAAATTAATCTTGTCCGGTAATTCTGCGTTCTTTTCGGAGCACATCTTGAAGTAATTTTTTCTTCCATTTGAATATCAGTACTTGTATGCTAGTGTAGCTGACCTTTTAAGAATTATATTCTGAATGCACTTGTTAAATGGCGGAATATATGACTAATTGACATACGTAAATGTTAAGAAAACCTTGACAATGACTTGCTAGATAACGTGTATTTTTTGAGCATTTTATCGCATGTTTCTTTCCTTTATTTGTTCAGGATTCTCCGAAACAAAGGTTAAATTCTCTTTCAGGTTATTCATGCGTGTACGAATCCAGCATCATCCTGGTTTGAACCATTGTTTTGGCATACTCGTTCCTACATCATGACCATATCAAATATTAGCGGAACTATGTCAACATGGTAAGATTTTCCGCAACCCTAGTTCCTTAATGCAGAGCTGATTCTTTTGCATGTGTTATTTTTACTCTAATTAAAAACACTAGAAAATGCACAGCAAGAAAAACTGAGTCGACCGAAAGAGCAGAACAACCCTAGCATGTGCTTGTTTGAGCATGCAAATGGGGGTGAGTTAGGTACGAGGAAGTGTCGACGTCACCGTTATTTGCATACTAAATCATTTGACCGTTGCAGTAGCACTATTCTAGTGTAATTCTAGAGAACGAACTTTGCTCTTAGTAACTTTCAATGAGTCAAGCCAGACATAGTGGTTGTTAAGCGTAGTGCGCGTGGTTGCATCTTCATCCTGGAAAATGTCAAACGTCTGGCACTACATGTAAATGTAAACGGACATTACTCACGTAATGCCTTGAAAGTGTTATCAATCCAGGGATTTGGTCTCGGATCTGCCTACGCTTCAGTTTTTGATGAAAGAAAACAAAGAAGGGATCGCGAGCGATGTGTGATCTGACTCTATTTGCTGCATGTATAATATAATTAGGCAACTTTATGCATCAACATAGTCCCATGTGATGTAATTTAGCGCTTACTCACTTATGATGCAATAGTGAATTTTCATTTAGTCGGGTAAGAAAGCCAGGGGCAGGTATAGGTACTATTTGCGCGCTTTTTTTAAATGAAGCCATTCATCTGCTTCATCCCATTAATTCTAAAAAGCAAAAGTCTTCGCTGAAAACGTTTTTGTACTTAATCCCATGCTGATGAGGTGCTGAAACATGTCATGTGTAAAGCAATTTGTACGGAATTTTGCACAGAAAAATTCGAGATGTCTTTTCCTCCATCCAAAGAAAATCATTTGCAAAATGACAAATATTTTATATCAAATAGTAATTTTTGTTATTGGTTTTGTGTTATATACTGATCCTGAGCGCTATTATTTCCTAGGGTCTTCCTACGTGATAAAATAAAATAGAATAGAATAGGGAAAATACTGCGCGTCTCTGTGGGCTTACAATTAGCAAGGTCATTGTCAACATGACTTGCAATACAAGGTGATAATGAAAACGTTCAAAATCATAAAACTCGTATTGGAAACTGATTTATAACGATCCTTTTATGACACACGCTTTCTAAATAAAGATCAAACTGATCGAATGTCAACAATCAATTTGTTATAAAAATTTTTTGACTCTCCTTTGCAATATAAATAAAATCTCATTGATGTTACAAAAACAACATATATCATTCATACTCAACATATTGGTGCTAGTTTCGCCATCATAATTTACTTTTCGTTATAAGATAATTGTAGAAATTACAAAAGCTCTTTTTCGGGAAATAACTGTAGAACCATGCAACTCATTTCACATTCTATTCTCTCGAAATCTCTTCTGCAGAGCGGTATGTGGGAGGAGGACAAACATGCAGTTTCTTGTGTAGATAATCATTTCAAAGGGGTGGTACCTAACAAGGAAACTTGGGCATGCTGGTTCAAATCACGCATGAGAGGGATTCCAAATGCAAGGAAAAATGTGAGCAGGATCACGGTCCGGGCTAACCGGAGCCGACATGTTCTTCGATATGTCATATTCTGGATAGGAGAAGATTTTTGTGTGTCTGTCACGAGCATTTGGTTGAAATTCCTTTTCAGCAGGCGTACCATCATTTCGAAGATAACACCAAAGCCCATATCGGGTTTGGTGTGACAAAAGGCAGGGATAGTCTAGATTGCTAAGTTTTGTCCGGACAATGTATTTTGCAAATCAAGCAATGCTAAGTTGCGGAACTCTGGGCAAAGAATGTGATGTTGGTAGTATCAGTATAAAATTACTTCAAAGATCCTTTGAAGTTAATAAGTTATTGTGTAAAACAGTTTTTTTATCTGATTTTTAAGTTATACCCATAGAAACAGCAAATCGCCATCATCAGGTCATATTGGTGCGATTTCAGGTTAACATTAATGGTTACTGTGGAGACAGTTATGTGCGTACTCATGCCATTTTTATTTCGACAGTACTGCACGAAAAGGTACGTTGCTGGCTAGGCAGTTTCTAGCCTTCAGTTGACAACGACTGACTTCAAGAACACACTTTAGGACCACATGGTCCTTTCTGATCGCATCAATGACCGTAGCGACACTGCTGCATTCAACATTGGTATTCACAACGGAGATAACAACACATCCATTAGCTATTGTCCAGCATAATTTGCCGCAGGTAAGAAACAACGCATCGCATGTGTCACGTGTGGGGCTTCTGAACATTCCAAAGAAAGAAAAAACATGACGTGATGAAGACCCGTACTCAACAATTCATTGGAATTGGTTTTATTCTGCTCACTGAAAATGCATACACAACTTCTGTTAACTTGAAGCTAGGGATTAATTAGCGCTCGTTGTGAAAAGTGGAAGGAAGCCAACTAAGAAGTTCGAGCTAACTCTATTTTGAGGAACAAAACATAATCACGTAGTAACGTAGGAAATATAATTGTAGCGAATAAGCAGACGGAAAAATAGCAATCTTTAAGATATTGGTCCAGAACTACTGTACTCAACTTTTAATGAACTTTCCACAAATAAATTCTGCTCCAGTAGATTCCGATCTGTATTGTTCACAAGAATTAGCATATAGAGGGAAAGGCTCGATTTACATTTTTTATTTTATTAAGAAGTCGGCATGCTTTGCATGTATCTCCTTTCAACTTCGGAAAGCGTGCAGCGATGCGAGGCTGATTATGGTCAAATCCAATTAACAGAATTCTTTTTCAGAGTAACTCATCTTGCTGGTACATTCGAAGCATGCATTTGTTCATAATGCGAAGCAGTAGTGTCTATGAAGTGATACAAAAAGTCTACTATTGGATTCAGACGACTGTTGCTATTATTATTCCTACAGTAGCCATGCTCATTTGTTCGATCCTCATTGTCAAGCAGTTCACATTCAAGGTACATCTTGCATTATACTATGTTAGCACTTTTCGCTGGCGGCAGGGTTCCTTTCGCAGCCTCAAGTCATACCACGTGCTTCTTCTATGTTGCACTGCATTCAGTGTAATTATGATGCCTACTCTATCCACAAGCCGACAAGTAATAACCTAGAACTATACGCTAATTTAGCGTATATTAATAAGCGGAGCACATTATTTGTATTGGGTTTACGATTGCGCTATCAAATAACACAGCTGGTGTGAAAGGCTGCATCTGCAAAATTCTCAACAACCCTGAAAAAAGCAGCATTCAAGATTTGAAAAAAAAAGTAAAAGCAGTTACAACGGACATTTTCTGAATTTAAGGAGCTTGGTGAGGCATTCTCGCAAAGGCGAAAATGCGTGATTCGGATGACCGTTGCCACTACCGTCTCTCATCTTCTCTTAGAGGGTCCTGCCACATTAACCCACGCAGCTGTGGCACTGAAGGTATGAAGCCATTGCCTTGCATTACAGAAAAATTGCATAACTTGTTCCATATAGGATTCTTTGCGTCAGTAAACCTTAGATTTTGCATGTAAGATCTGTCATAATTCGGCATACGCTAAACTATGAGCCAACTAGTAGATCTCAAAACTCAGGCCAGTTTTTTACGGAGTTGCCTTATTCAAACTTCTTAAACTGATTCGATTTCGCTGTCCAAGAGATTACAATCAACATCCTGTGATAACTAGTAAAGTTAGCTTGGCGAGAACTCCCAAAAACACCATTTTCAATAATTTTTTCGAAATTTTACTGCATTCCAAACAAATGTAGCCGCTGCTTGACAATAATTACACTTGTTAGGAATACTAGAAAGTTGTTTGAAATACGTATCTTGCTCAATGTTCCTGGATCGCTTCAATATGACATGAAGAGCTACATACGGCGAGATTAACTTCTATAGGGAACTTTGCTGCTTACTATTCAGTTTGGTAAACTTTGAGCGTTTCCAAGGCCATTATGAAGTGGCCACTTGACTGCGATAAATCCATTAGGTTGGTCAAAAAGAAACGTTTGTTTTGGCACGCAAACCATAAGAACTTTCCTTGTCGTTTTTATACATGATTCTCTAAAGGGAACTAGTTCAAAGATTTTCCTATCACATATCAACTACTCAGAATATTCCATGAACACTGAGGAACGTAGACGATCCACTAGATATCAAATCTCTATGCAGAATTTGTCCGAAAGCGTATTGAGTGTGCAATTGGCATTCGCAACTTAATATTCCTCTATCAAGAATGATATGGACTAATTTGAATTAGAAGTTGATGCGAACACACTGAGAATCATTTCCATAGTCTGTATCGCAAGCACAGTCATCCTTCATCTTGATAGCATAGATAGTCAAATTATAGGGTTCGTCGTCATCAGAGCACCATTACCTGATGTGCGTCTTGAACAACGCCATCAACATCTTATCAATCGTAAATGCTACGATTCCATTTTTCGTCTTTTTACTGTGTAACGAGCAATTTCGACACATGACGACGATGTACATGAAGGTACGTAGTCATGTAATCTTCTGAAGTCGCACCGCTTTTCACTTTCATACTGAGATCCATCAGCATCAGCAGCCCAATCCAATTTTCACAAAAGAATGTCAAACCTGTTTTCCTCATCTGCTAAGCGCTTTCGTGACGAAGTTATTAGCCATTATGTGATATATTGCTGAGATCGTGCGTGCAAAATGCAAACCTGGCCCTACAGAGCTATGTTCGGCTAAATGCTGGCCCAAAACATGCAATTAGGCTTATTTATATAGCTACGTTGGCAACCCGGCTCCGCCCGACTCTTTCAATAATATTTTCGTAGCCAGCATGCTCAACCCCTGTGCCAACCCCCCCCCCCCCCCCAGCCCCGTAGATCCTGTAGTTTACATACAAAATTTCCGTTCGGGACTTGTATAGACAACACACATAACAGACATTCAGCTTTATTTATAGAAGTATAAATTTCTAAAAGGGCAACAATGTGCTCAATTTCGCAATTATTACGTATTATTCCTTGCGATAAGACTGCTCATAACTTCGTCTACAAAGGCGTGTAGCAGAGATGGAGGACAGATTTGAAGTCAGCGTTCTATGCATCTGATAGTGTGCACCTTGCTTGAACTGGTCACTTTGATTTCTGACCATTCCCTTGTCAGTATATCTTTCAGGGCCTCCTGAGAATTTCAGCTTCTTTCTTTACATCTTCCTTGAACTCTTGTACGGGTAGAAAACCAAGTTGGAAATGTTTTTGCATGGGTTATAATATTGATGAAAACAACAACGCGCACATATTAATTGCATATTCGATTACTTCCTTTCTTGTTCACTTGCTTCTTATAAGCATTGTTCTGCTATTAAAAGATATATAGCGACATTTCCAGGCGCATCTCCAGAATAACAAAGCTCGAAAGAAAACTTATCTATCTCAAGCTGGAATGCGGTGTTCTCGCTTGTCAACGACGGAAAATCAGAGGTCAACTATTGACTCGAGACTACTATCGAATGGATCGAATTTGTGACACATTGCTGCGTGAATGTTGTTACGGGTTTAATTAGACGCTAATACGTGGTTGTAAAAGAAGTATAGATATAACAGTATGCGTTCAACAAAGGTCCAACTGAGTCCAACATCATACAAAATCATCTGTTAGATGATATCTGAACTTACTATGAGGACAAGTGCAAATATCACTGGATGCAATCTGCCCTGATCGACGTCGCTCCTGAAAATTGGCGCAGAATTGGGCTGCGCAGTGTTAGGCCACGGGCATAACTCGCGCAACTTTGGTCGTCATGCGTTTTAACGGTTTGCAAAATGTATCAATAACCAACAGTCGCGAATGGTTTGTATCCACTTTATCTTTTGTAAATAAAAATGCACTAAACGAGTTATAAACAATCGAAGTGCTGCCATATCGCGTGGCGACCGGAATAGCATGAGTTATGTGTGCCCGCGGCCTTCGGGCCTGGGCATACCTCGAGCGACGAAGTCGTCGCGGTTCGCGATCGCGACGAGTCGCTCGATTCAATGACTGGAGGCGGCGGACTCATAACTTGCAAGAAACAGCAACGTACAACATAACATCGAAGATGCGGTTTAGAAACGACGCGACATCGCGCTCATTCGGCAAAATCGCGACGACTTCGCCAACTGAACTATGCGTCAAAAGTGTATGAAAGCTACTTACTGCATGACGAAGGCGCAGAAGCAGTACTAGTTGAGCGGACGCTAACGCGACGTGCGCGCATCTTCACCGCTGTATATCCTGCGTCTCAGGCCCTAAGGCATGCCTCACGCGATTCGGCCGAATCGCCATAGCGACTTGGCAATTCCAAATTTCTACAAATTGTCGTGCGTTCTTCTCGAACGCATATTTGGGCAGCTTGTCTAAGTTGTTGCAAACGGATCAAGTTCTGACCAAAGGCAGCGCATTAACGACGATTTACGAAGAGTCGCTGTTGTGCCAAATGGAGCAGCGACCGGACTCGCGCGAAGTATGCCCTTAGGCCTCATGCGCTCTGCGGCTAATGAAGCCGTATGCGCCCGAAGATATTGCGCCTTCGTCCAGCAGCCAATAGCGATTTTTCGCGCCGAACAGCCATCACAAATGCGTCGGGACCCACACACTTAACACATTACGACAATACGACCCACCGGTGGCCGTATGATCCCTGAAGCTCTAGCTTTGCCAGTTTACGCTGAAATTCTGCGGTATTCTGAAATATGATTGGGGACACGTTGGCGAAGCTCCAGCCAGAGTGGTCCGAGTTGTAATGTTACGGTAGGTATACCGTAGATAAAGATAAGGCACAGACTTAAGCTTAAATTTTTCGCAGAGTAGCGCTGTTTTTAAAAATTTAAGTTTACATGTACGAGAAATACGGGAAGGGCACGGGATTGATGTTAACCCACCAAAAAATTATCGATTTTATCGATTTCATCGATTTTATTGATTTTTCCATTGTTCATTTCAAGAAGCTCAAACCTTAAATATATAGGTTTTCTAGCATGCTGATTACGAAAATAACAGTCTCAGGTTCTAAGTTCCACCTTCTTACATTAGTTTCTTGATTTTTACGAAATTCCACCGCACTGCTACCGTAACCCCACTGCGAGGCGGTAGTGAACAAAGTGGGCATAATAAACGTGATCAGTACGTCAAATAACCCCAAAACACAATTTTTCATGAAAAACCATGATGTTGGTTTCGTACAGGATGACTACTGTAACCTTACCGTATAACGCCCAAAACTGAAATAAATTGCTTTTTGATAATCAGCGCACTCGAATAGCCCTCTGAAAAAATTCTTGGGGACATGTTTTGAACTTTTCTCAAAAGACTACCATTTCGAACGATATGACCCACGGGTGAGTCGTAAGTTTGACAAAGCGAGAAAGGCTCTGATCCGAAACAGCAGTAATCAAAAATCGGCCTCGTCGTGAGTGTGATGTCCATTTTTTCGTATAGCTATAGCATCAAAATGTGAAACATTTGTAACACATGGGAGCTATCACCTCTTGGGAAAAAAATTCGTGCTGCATTGCCTGCTCTTACTAGGGAAGGATACTTGGTCGAATTGGCGTTTCTGTATAAAATTTTACCGTCTTATGGAATGTAACATGGAACGCTGATTCCAAACCTGCTTTCGGTACCTGCAAAGCGCTTATGGGAGGGGATTGTGGGAATTCCAAAGGTATCAAGGATTTGGCCAAGATAAAGACAGGTGTTAAAGTCTCCCGGCACTCAGAAAGAGGAACGGCTGGCATAAGTTTATTGAACTGAAGGTAATTATTGCTAGGAGCATAATTAAAGTAGCCATGGCCCATTCGAGGTCTCGGATTACAGTTCTGAATGACTTTATCGTAGCAACGCGTTCAAGTTTTTGCATCAAAAATCTCCATAACTCCCCTCCCGAAGCGCTTTGCAGATACCGAAGTCAGATTTGAAAACAGCGTTTTCCGCTCTATAAGGTCTAAGGCATACCTTTCGCGGTTCCACTCGCTGCGCGATCTGGTACTGCAGCAACTCTTCATAATTATTCGTAAATGCACGTTGATTGGGCCAGATTTGTAATTTTTTGCGAGAACTACACAAGCTACGCTTCTATACATTCAACACTAGCGCACGACTACTTTTTAGACATGTGGCAAAACGCCGAGTCGCTGTAGCGATTTGACGGAATCGCGGGGAGTATGGGGTAATGTACATCCCATATGAAGCACATTTTAACAAGAAATGCATGTTTAATAGAAGTAGCCTTTTTAGATGGGTTGTGCACCATATTGAAGGGCACAAAATGCTGATTCCAGATCTGCCTTCCTTATCTGCAGAACGTTTATGGACGAGTCATGAGCGCTTATTGGAGCAAAAAATTGAAAGTGCAAGTAAGGGAAAAAATGACGTAATACTTTTTCTAGCTCTTCAATGGAGCAGTGATAATCATCATCACTTTATTCAAAAAATACTCTAAAATTGAAAATATACCACACTTGGTTGCATTATTCGAGGACTAGTAAGATTTTAGCAACTCATTTCATCCAAAATGCACGTTCAATTTTTGACTCCAAAAAACGCTCATAACTCCTCGTCCATAAGTGTTCTGCAGATAAAGAAGGCAAGTTTGGAATCAGCGCTTTCTGCCTTTCAATAATCTATACACCTCATTTAGAAAGGCCACTTCGACTAAACAAGCTTCCCTTGTAAGTATCCTTCCCTTGTAAAATGCATAAAGAGTCTGTTTCACAATGCTAGTTTATAGAATTCGAGCAATTATCAACTCGAATCGGGTTTCAAGATTCGCTGAGCCTTTTCGGTGAATTCGTTAAAGGGCGCTGGAGTAAACCTTACCTACTCGCTGATTTTGATGAACGCTCAACCTTACGACGGTTTGAACACACCTTCAGGCCACAACTCTCAGTTTCTGACACGTCGGAACTTTTGGTCAAAAGCTGGCATTTTGTTCACATGAGGACGTCTACGTGCATTGTCAGAAATTTTGCACAGAGCAGCAACATTGCAATAAAAACGCTTAACCTGCAGATCAGTGGATTTAGAATAATTCTAAATTATACTCCTTTGGACTCCTAATTGATAGCAGTGGCTCGGCAAATCTCAACCTAGTCAAATTTTCGCTTATCTGGGGTTATTCAATACGCTGATTTCGAAAATCCGCTTCAGTAAGCTTGAAAACGGCGAAAACGAGCGTTTTTCAAGGCCCTTCCTTTCGGAATTTGACGAGTGGAGCAAGGCTGATGATGCTGGATCGTTGCGGGACCCAATGGTTATAGCATTGCGGCGGGCAGCCTCCAATGGTGAGGAGGAAATTGCCAACTCGTCCGGGAGCGTGTAAGATTGGCCTGCGCTGTAAGTTTGAGGGCCATTTTCTCGGCAGGGAAGGCATGCTGTGCAAAAAGGATTGCACTGTTTTCATACTTGGGCGATAAGGAACCTATCGCGTTAAAGTCCTGAGTTGTTGAGTTTTGGCGGTCCACTGCCTTTTCCTGCAAGAGTTTTCATGTTTCGCTTTCTTCAAACCTGAGCATCACATATATAATCCAAATGTGCTGAGACGCTAATCTGCAGGTTAAGCATTTTTTTCTGTGCGAATAGATGGTCCTTCCGCCACGACCACCTTTCCCCGGTGCGGAATTCCATAAACGGTCTCTCGACCTCTGAGGAACAAACACGAGGCGTCGATTAAGTCGTGATTGGACAAATAATGGTTTAAAAACATGTGTGGCCCATGTGTGTGAACACTTGAGGAATCTTACAAAACTGTTTGGAAATACAGAACTTTATAGTTCCGGATGATTTTCAGCATACGAGCGAGTGGTCAAAATGGGTGATCCGAAGTGCACTACCCATTTTTGGAGGTAAAGCGTCCAAGGAGGAACTAACATTCTCAGAGTTATGATGATGTTACGACAATGCGCACAAGTTCATCATTGTCTAAACGGCGTACTGACCACATCTCGGAGCTATCCGGACATCAAAATTCATCCGTGCTCGTTTACTTAATGTGAGGTTGCGGCTCTTTTGTCAGCATCAGCGATTACGCAAATCTTATTCAAGTTTCCTTCACGGTACGCAAACGCTCAGCGACGAGACCTGCATCCGAGTTTAATAAGTGCCTGAAAATTGTGAACCAGTGGGTTTAGAAACAGTGTGACTCTTTATTCATCTTGAAACAAAAAATGCAGCACGATTTTAGTTTGAAAAGGCGCAGCTCTCAAGGTCCAAAGAATGTAGTAGTGTTTAAAAAATTGTAGGTGGTGACCTTTGACCAGCCTTTGGAACAAGGTTCTTATTGTTAGAATTTTTCAGTTCTTCGCGAGTCAAAACCATGAGATTGGGAGCCTTTCTAGATGATAAAGCATAGGCCTACACAAGCATAGTGCTTTTTCAGACAATCATCAACTACGGCAAAAAAAATCATGGTCCCTGGGGTGGCTACTTAGCCTCAGACAACTGGCCGGAACTTCCGCAGCGCTTTCGCAGGGTTTCCGCAAGTGACCCGGCGGAAATCCTGCGAAAGCGCTGCGGAAACCCTGCAATCTCAGGGTGCAGGGTTTCCGCAGCG